AAGCAAAAAACAACTAGGCAAAATTAACAATCTAATCTCAAACTGGATTAAAAACAAATCCAAATGCCGCCAAAATATTCAACTTTTCAACTAGAAATTGACAAAGGAGGTCTTGCAGCCCTAGTTCTTAAGAACATTCTTGACTCAAGGCTTACTTCAATATAGATTAAACTCTTATGTTCAGACAGCTTTTGGGCCAGAGTCAAAAGATTTCAAATTGCTCAACAACTGCATAATAAAAGAAACATAGCAATAGGTTATGCATTAACAAGACTCCCAATTAGGCTGAACAGATGGTCAGACTTTTGAAGACTTACCTTATAGCATGAAAAAGATTAAAAGGCTCAATACTAAATACAAACAACTGGCCTTGAAATTTGTCAGATCTTACAATTGAAGGCCAACCAGGTTTCCAATTCTCAGGTAAAAATGCAACTAATTTCTTAAGAACTCAATTGATTTTACCTACAGCAGTGCAAACTCTGGTCAATACTAGCTATCCTTTTACCTAGATTAACAATAGGAATTCTGAACAAGAAAAAATATATTTTTTGAAGGTTACAGAACAATGCACTTCCTTTGGGATACAGGCTTATGCATGTAAACAAAAACATTAATGGAAACTGTTCTACCTGCCCAGATCAAAAACAAATATTAGATTACTTTGCTTTAAAATGTAAAATTGGCAAAGCTATCTGGGAAAAGAGATACAAGGTGCTTAAATCCCCAGCAGAAAAGGTTTTCCCTACAACTATTGAAGAGATTTTTACAGTATCAAATATTCAACTTTCTAAAAAGTAAGAGGCTGCATTATGGCTACATATAAATATTATCTATGAAATATAGTGTTAGTATACCCAATCTATGTAGGGAAACAATACTACTTCAGAACTAACAATAGGAAAATTATTGAACACTGAATGAAAAGAAGTTTAATAATTTAGATAAATTACAAAAGGGTTTTATAATTTATTGCACCCTTTTTGTTATTTAAAAATTTTGTTTATAAAACCACTTTTGAAGTACTAATAAAAAAATTTTTCCATAAAATTTTGATATACTCTATGCCTTTGCCTTATCTCAAACCTTAACACTAACCCTAATATTAATAAAATTTTATTTTTTGCTTTAACAAAAATTTTTTGTTATACAAAATTGATGATCTTCATATAGTAAAATAAGAGTGCAATATATTGCACCATGCAATAAATTATAAAATCTATTACAAAAAAGCAAGAAAGTATTTAAACTTGTTAAATTTATAGATAGTAAATGTTTTACTTGTATATAATATAAAATTCTATAATATTTAATTTTAATAAAAAGAATGCCAATTCATATATAAAAAAAAAATAAAAATAAAAGAAAAATAGGGGCTGTTAGTTTACCTTGCTTATAGCTATGTTGAAAAATAGAGTATTGTGACAGCATTTTGGACTTATGCTTTATCTAATTAATAATTGTTGTGTTAATTTCATTTAATTGTTTTCAGGTGAGTAAAAGAAAGTAGGCAAGATACCAGATTTTTGATATAAGCAGTGTTTTGGCAACCAGAATTTTGCCTTGAAAGAAAAGGTTTCTTTGTAACAGGTGCTATATTTTGTTCTTAATCTTCTTGAGTATACTGGCTCATAATGTTTTGCAAGGTTCTCCTTTTGTGTTAATTGTGTATCCTAGAATAGTGATTGTATTTTGGTTCATTCAGCAAGGTCCAGTCTGATTCTATAGATAAGTCATCAGCATAAGCTGTGATTTTGAAGTAGTAATCTCCTATTAGAATATCTCTAATTTTCTGAGTAATTGAGCTTATTAAGAGGTTTATAGCTAGAAGATATAGCAGCAGATTTCTTTATCAATTATGTGTGCTTTTTGTGTTTTGAATAAAGAGCTGATTACTTTAGAAAATTTGTTGTTAAAGTTCATTTTTTCTAAAACTATTTGTTAACCATTAGAACATTTAGAGCTAAATCTGCTATATATCTTTTTGAGATGAAAGCTTGTTGTTTTGATCCAATTATAGCATTACATATTGGATTTAGTCTATTTGTGAGTATTTTCATGAATATTTTTGCATCAGCATTTACAAGTGAGATTGGCCTTCAGTTATTGACTTTGGTTAAGTCATCTGCTTTTTTGGAAATTAGTGTTATAAAACTTGTACTTCAGAAGTTAGAAATATGTTCTTTATTAAGAATATCATTAAAGAGCCTTACTAGAACTGGAAGAATTAGACCTTTTGTATTCTTGTAAAACTTATATGTGAGTCCATCAGCTCCAGATGATTTGTTGTTTGGCAACTTGTCTATTACTTGACTTATTTCATCTTCAGTTATTGGGCTAGTAAGAGTATTATTTTGTTTAGTAGTGATTTGAGTAATGTTTTCCAAAAGTTGGCTTGCTGCATTTGTGTCTATATTTTTAGCTTTGTAGGTTTCTTGATAGGAGTTTTTGATGTAGTTAAGAGTTTGATCTTGAGATTGTTTGGTTGTTGCCTTTGGGTCTTGAATTACTGTGCAGCTGGCAGCAGTATGTTTGGTTTTGTACAAAGAGAAAAAGTACTTAGTAGATTTTTTTGCTCTCTTTAATCCACCTAGCATTAGACCTAAGATGCCATTTATCAGAAAGATGTATTAGTTCTTCTTGTAATTGAAGTTTGAGGCTTTTGATAATAAGTTTTAGTTCTTTCAAGTTTGGGTTTTTTGCTAGTTTATTTTTTAAATTATAAAATTTTCTGTTCAATTTCTGTATTTTCTTTTTAGAAGACATTTTAGGTTTAAATGCTTTGGCTATGGACTGAATTGCACATTTGTGCCAGTTCTAGCTAGAGATATCTTTGATGTCTTGTAATTCCTTTCAGATTTCTTCTCTAAGTTCTAAGTTCTTCCAACTTTTTCAGTTAAATCTTCATAGTAAAGGTGCCCCATTGTAATGTTTAAAGTTGAGTTTAGTAATTACTATCAAATAATCCGAATTGCTGAAGCTAGTATATGTGTTTTTTCAAGTATAGCTATAACTTGCTTCTATAAAAATATAGTCTAGTCTGGTTGCCATCTTTTGGTTATTTTGAGTATTTTGGTAGAAGGTAAGGAATTGTTTATCTTTAGAAAAGATAGCTTTGTTGATAAAATCTGAAATCAGTTCTTTTAGTTTGTTTCTGAATTGATCTGGTTGTACTGCTACATGACTAATTTGATTTATGTTAAGATCAAGGTTTGTATTAAAGTTCCCTCCTACTATGTTTATATTTTCATCAATGTTAGGTAGAACCCAGTTTTTAAAAAAAGTATATCTTTTATCCTGTGAGGGAGGAGCATATACATTGGTTAAAAAAATGACTGTTGCTAAATTTCTGCTCTAGTTAAAGACACTTGGCCATTGTGTGAATTCTTAGTTATCATTAATTTGATGTTTTTGTTTCCTGCAAGTATGGCTGCTTTTGAGGACCAGAATGAGTCAAATCTCTACTGTTGAGCTAAAAAGCTTCTTGTATTAGAATCTTTTAGATTGGTTTCTTGTAGCATTATAATATCTAAATTGTATAATTTTAATAAGATAAGGGTTTTTTGTGCTTTAGGCCTGTTTTTGAGGCCTTTAATGTTGCATGTAGTGATTTTAATCATGAAATAAAATTAAGGAATGTTGTGCTACAGTTGATTTTCTTTTCTTAGAAGTTTTTCCTTGTTGGTTCACTTTGCTATAAACCATCTGTTTTCCTATATAGATGAAAGCCATTAGCTTGATCTTTTTTCTTGTTTTTTAGTTTTTGTTTTTTGAAGATTACTATAGTAAATAGGGTGTTGTCTATTTTTTGATCCAAGCTTTGAGTACTGTCTATGTTATTGGTTAATTCTGCAACTGAGTTGGCAGAATGTGTAGTAACAAAAGAGTTGTTTGAGGATAGCTCTAGATCCATAGTACTGGTTGTACTAGAGCTGTCAAAATCAGGTATATTAGGTTCTAGGATGGAGTTTTTGAATGAATCTATTTTGTAATAATAGGCTTTAGTACTGAGTTTGACAAGATTCTATTGAGCTTATATCAATTTAGAGGTTGTCTTTACTAAAGCCTTTGTCTATAACAGCTGATTTTAATGTTAATGTCTTTTTGAGTTGTACTATATCTTCTCTGAGTTCATGTTTGATCTGAATAAAGGCTTTAAGTTCTTCACAGTCCTTCTTGATATGCCTCTCTTTTTCACAATAGAAACAGACCTTGGGGGCTTCTTTCCAGTTTATAGTTACCATGTGATCATCAATGTGAGTACTTCTAGGAAGTCTAGTAGTAAGTTCAGAGTCTTCTGTTATTTCAAATATGACTAGTCACTGATCTGAACAAACTGTAGTTCCTTCAAAAAAGAGAGGTTTAATGGAAACAACTTGTCCAATTGATTTTGAGTCTCCTATTAGGGTTTTATGAAGTTTAATTATGAGAAAAGATCATCTGATATTGACTGGTATGTACCCAAAAAGGGTTTGTTTAAATAATGGAATGCCTTCAGAAACATACTGTTAAAGTTTTTCTTTGTTTTTTAAGATAACTTTCAAGAAAGTTTTTTTTTCTCTTGTTGTATGAACTTTTGCTGCAATTAGGTCTTCTTCTATTTTGATAGCAAGAGCAGTGATAATATCATTGGTGTTAATATTGATTAAGCTTTATATGTCTAAAATAAGAACAGTATCATTTTTGATATAAATTCTTTGTCTTGTAGTTGGTTTAGAAAAAACTGCTTTTCCTCTTTTAAGTTTAGGAAACAGGTTAGACCATTGTATAGGCTTATTAGAGCCTGTTGGGCTATTTTTTGCTAAATTTATTGGACCAGAGGGCAGAATCTTTGACATGGTGGCCTGGAGTAAAGGATCAGTGCCCTGATTGTTGTTACCTGATTGACTGTTTTGGCTAGGCACATGTTTGTCAGCTGAGTCATTATTGTTTTGATATATGTTATTTGTTTCTTCAGTTGTTATGATGCAAGCTTTTGTTTGTTCTGAGAGGATATCTTCTCATATTTTAATGTTGGTCCAGTTAAAAGAAGTATTATCAATAAAACAACTCGTCTGAGTGTTTATATCTTGGTCTGCTTTAGCACTGTTAGTTGTTTCTAAAAATTTTGTTGTCTTTGCATTATTTTCAGTTTCTGGCAAAAGCATAAAAGTTTTTTTTTTTGGACTTGTTAACTTTGCTGTAGTTTGCTTTTGTCCAAGAGTTAATGTTGTTTTTTTGTGAAATTTTGTATTTTGCTATTTTCCAATAATAAACAGAAAGAGTTTATTTAACATATTTTAAAATATTGTTAGCTTTAGCTTTTTTGCTTGAGCTCTATTTCTTACTATTCTGTACAAGAAAATGATTTTATATTTTAACTTGCATTTAGTTATGTTTGTAATTGCTTCTTGTGGCACTATTTTGTTTTCCTATCTGGCCTGAGTATACCAGCACCAAATTTCATACATTACTATTATATGTAATCATGTTGTGGCTTCTTGAAGTTCTTCATTTTTTATATTAGTCACTGAAGGATATTTTCAATTGTAGAAGGAGTAGGTCCATTTTTGTAAAATTTAAGACATTTGTAGGCAGTTTTTCATATCTTTTTGCTTATTGGGCTTTTTATTTATTTTTTTTTTATATGAAAAAACTGCAATTAAGTGTATTTATTTATTCATTTATTAGAAAATAATTATGAATTACATATAGTTATTATTTAGATAGATAAAGTTTAAAATTTCTTTTTTTGAAGAGAATCTCTTTCTGGATTCTCTTTGTTGCAAAGTGTTAAGTACTTTAATTTCTTTTCTAAGTCTATTATTTGTTATATTGCTAATTATATTATCTGATATTAGGTTATTGCCCCATTTTGCTTGAGTAAACCAATGCCAAATTTCATAAATTGCATATATATAGATTCACAGTACTGCTTTGCATTTTTTAGCATTTTTAATGTTATTTGCATTAATTATTTCTTTTACTGAGGTTGGAGAATTCTCTATTTTACCATTTTTAAGCTTTTGTAGCTTTGTTCCCAAATTCATTTACTAGTTTTGCATTTAAGTGCAAAGTATTCTATAGTTTGGATAATGTATAAGCAGCCTGGACAGCTATTATCAGAGTTTTGTACAAAGTGAGTAGTCCAATAACCTAAGGGTAGGGCTCTATGCATTAGTCTCCAAAAAATGTCCTTTTTATTGTTCTGAATATTTTCCAGTTTCATTCATTCATATGTATTATCTGACTGGGTTTCTTGGCTTGGTGTACTATTATTGGGTATTTGAGAGCAAAGTGCTTAAATGTTTGGATTTTGTAAGGGCATTAGGGCAATCTCCTAGGTTTTCTTAGTTGAAATGTGCAAAGCAATAACTTAGTAGAAGTGCTCTGTGTGCTAATCTTCAGAAGATGTCTTTTTTCTTATTAAGAATATATTTTGTTTTTATTTATTTGAATGCTAAATGCTTTATTTCTAGATTTGTTTTATTTGATTAGTGCTTTTTTGACTGTAAATTAGTGACTGTTTAGTAAACATATTTCAATATTTTCAGGTGAACATGGCCATGTTGTGTTATAATTTTTTCTTTAAACCTATTTCAGGCTGTTACACAAGGTTTCCATTCTTCTGGCCACCTCTTTAGTTTACAGAGAGATTGCTATAAGATTTCAGATATTGGTTTTTTTATTTATTAAGCAGTGTTAATGCAATTTGCATTCTTTCTGTTTTGGCCCAAAAGGAACTACTTTATAAGAGTTTTGTCAGTATCTAGAAAATAAAAACAAGTTGGCACAATTATGTCAAATACTTCTGCAAGTAGTTTAAACAAGAAAGTCAAAAAGGCTAGGACTTTGAACATAGAAATGATTGAACTCTCCAACAATGAAGCAGGCAACAAAGAAAACTTAGAACACATCAAAGCTTCTCAAATTGAGGTCAAAAAAAAAAGACAACAATACAAAATACAAAGATCCAATACTGTATTCAAAGCTAAAAACACAAAAGTCTAAAAAAAAAAGAAAGAAAATGCAAAGGTCATGCAAAAAGAAAATAGTTTGGTTACTTCATCTTATGTGACTTGTCAAGATGCATCAAAACAAATAAAACACATGGCCAGCACTTGCCATGTAAAGGAACACCAATCAAAACAAACTGATCACCTGATCAATGCTGATCTCAAAACAGATCAAGCAGCTGAACATAAAACAGATCACAATGATGTTCAAGTAAAACCCAGTGATATAGCTGTGAAACCTAGACAGTGGTTAGATCTTTTTGCAAAACTCAAAAAAGAAAAAGCAACATATTCTACTTATTTACCTTCTCCTTTTTTGCAAAACTCGAAAGAGGAAAAACTCTTTCTGGTTCACACCTAGAAACATAGAAAAAACAAAATTAATACACACAACACAACAGTTTACTTTAAAAACTCCAGTGGGCCCAAGGCCCTAATACCCAAAAAGTGAAAACTAACTATGAACAGAACACAACACAAAAAGCATAGGACAGATCACAGCAAAGAAAGAGTCTTTAGCTTTGCAAAAGCAGAAAATAATCAAAGCAAAACTACAAAAAATGACAGTCAGGAAAAAAACACAATGAACAAACTTAACAGCATGTTAGAATTAAAAGCTAAGGAACATATAGCAGACTGGGCCAGTCACATAGAAAATGAAATATAAATAGAAGCCAAAAATAGTATCAAAACTGCAGAAACTTCTTCAAGCTGACAAAAAAACAAGCAACTATCAATATCAAAAGCAGCAGAAAAATTCAACAATAAACAGGACAACAAATATGCAACAGAGGAAAACAAACAAAAACACAAAAATGTCAGTAGCAACAAACACATGTTGAGCAACAACAAACAAGAACACATGAATACAGAGAATGTTATGCCACATGAACAAAACAGTGTTGACCAATCATCAAACACAACAATAAATGAACAGGTTAGCCAACCTAAAAAGGAATTAGATACAAGTGTAAAAGAAACACAAAATAGAGGCACAAGACCAAAGCAATGGTCTGATCTATCTACAAAATTTAAGAAAGGAAGTGCAACTTTTTCAAACTCATCACCCAGACATTGTATTTACTCAAAAAATGAAAATGCACTAATAGTAGATATATCTAGTCTTAATAATATATCTACTAACAATATCATCATAGCACTTACTGCTAGTCTGAAAGAAGACTTAGTAGCAGCCAAAGTATATACATCAAGAGGCAAAAGAACATCTCTAGAAATGATTTTTAAAGACAAAAAGAGAGTACAACACTATGCAACAGAAGGCATTTCACTTTTCAAGCAAACTTTGCTTGGATATATTCCAGTAAACCTAAATTACTTCTTTCTTACAATCAAACTCAGAAACACTCCAATGAGCAATGCTAAGCACATTAGCAACAATATTCTAGAAGCATTTCAAGATGTCAGCCAGGTTGTATCAATTAAACCTCTGTTCTATGAAGGCACTACAGTATGCTCAGATTAGTGGTTGGTGACCTTCGAAACTACAGATAACTCAGACCTAACAAGCAGAATTCCCAGAAGCACACACATTGGTAACCATAAAGTTACAACAGAATAGAAAGAAGCTCCAAAAGTTTGCTTCTTCTGTGAAAAAGAAGAACACTTTAAAAGGGACTGCAAAGAGCTAAAAGAATCAATAGAAGCAAGATGAAGACTAAAAGAAGCAAGGGAGCAAAGAGAAAGAGCCAAACTTCAAAAAACTGTACAGGATGAAATAACCATAAGCCCAAACAACCCCTATATGGAGGGATCAAAAGAAAAGGTTGCTCAAGAACTAACAAAATCAGAACTGACTTTTAGTGCAAACAATTCATACGCTAAAAAACCAGAAGAAAATACACAAGCAAATAAGGAACAAGATGAATTAATGCCAATTTCTGAACACCCCTCAGACACAGAAGAAGAAATGTCAATAGAATCAGAAACTAAACAGCTAAACAATTCCACAAAGGAAGATGAAACTTCAAACACCAACTGGAAAACAGAAGCACTTAATAGTGAAAAAGGTCTTAAATAAACTCTATTTACAACAGTTACTTATAGAAAGCAAAAGAAAAACAAAAAGGAACAAACAAGAAAAAGACATCCTTACAAGAAGGCAATAGGCTTGCAAAGCCAATTGCCAGTCAGAAATCAACCTTAAGGCACTCAAGCCTGGTGTAGCACCTATCTTTAACATATAATATAATGATCAAAATTGCTACACTAAATGTCAAAGGCCTAAACAATAGGTCCAAAGTACAAAAAACACTTATGCTTATAAAATTATATAACTTAGATCTAATACTAATTCAAGCAACAAACCTTAAAGACACAGGTACAAGAAACTTTCTAGCAAAGCAATGGGGCTATGTTCATTCTGGACCTCAAAAACAGCAATATTAGCAGGAAAAAGAGATATCAAACTTACAAACATTAAAAAAATCCTGGAGGGCCAAGTAATCACTGCCAAAACCACAATTAAACAACAATCATTTCTAATTACAAACATCTATGCCCTTTCAAATTTAGAAGACAGATTTTCTTTCTTTAGAAAATAGACACTGATTAAAGATGAAGAAAGCATCTGCATCATAGCAGAAGACCTTAACACTAATCTTGATCCTGAGAAAAACAGAATAAGCCAAGCTGCACCACAAAATGAATGCTCAAGGCAAATAGTCAAAAACCTTATAGCTGACTATACAGACACAGCTATCTGCAGCAATTTTTCACATTCTACCAAACAACACAAGGTGGCCAAAGAATGGCAACCAGACTAGACTACATCTTTATTGAAGCAAACTACAGCTACTTGTGTCAAAAAATTCATACTCGATTTGGCAACTCAGATTATTTACTAGTAGAATGTGAGTTTAGTCTCAAAAGCAGCCAAGATCACAAATCAATATGGAGATTTAACAGAAAAAGCTGGAAAATCTCAGAACTAAAAACAGACATTATACAAAAACTACAAAATATTCAAGATCCTAAAAACTGGGACTTACATAAGTGCATAATTCAATCAATAATTAGAGCTTACAAACCACACCCCTTATTAGAAAAAAAAATACAAAAAATACATAGAAGAATATGCACTCTGAACAACAAGATCACAAAAAACCCAAACCTAGAAGAACTAAAACTAGTAATTGAAAGACACAACATCGAACTTCAAGAATTAAGTTTATTATCAAACAAATGGTGAACAAGATCTAATGCCAAATAGATAGAAGAAGGTGAAAAATCCACTAAATACTTCTACTCCCTATACAAAACAAAACATTTAACAACTTGCAGCACCAAGATTAAAATCCCTAACAGTCAAAATGATACACCACAGGAACAAATTCTGGACTATATAAAAGAATC